ATTCCAAAACCAAATCCAGTTCTTACAAATGAACAACCATTACAAAAACTAAATGAAATTCCACCAACATCTATGTTAATTAACACAAAAACAATGACCGATACTGAACTTCGTCTTATCCAGTCATCTGCTCCCGAAGACGTGCCACTATTATTGCCCACTAATTTGAATCAGACTTTTGCAATACCTCAACCTCCACCTCTACCCGCCAATTTACAAACAACTCCTGCTTATATACCACCACCTCCACCTCTACCCGCAAATTTACAAGTTACTCCAACTTTTATACCACCACCACCAGCTCTGCCTGCAAACTTACAAGTAACTCCTTCTGCTATACCACCACCTCCACCTCTACCGGCAAACTTACAAGTAACTCCTTCTGTTATACCACCACCACCTCCATTTCCGGGTAATATGCAAGTAAATTCGCCCAATATACCACCACCACCTCCATTTCCGGGTAATATGCAAGTAAATTCGTCCAATATACCACCACCACCACTACCATCAAGCGGGTTTGGAGGAATACCTCCACCACCACCACTGCCATCAAGTGGGTTTGGAGGAGTGCCTCCACCACCACCACCGCCACTGCCATCCAGCGGATTTGGAGGAGCACCACCTCCTCCACCGCCGCCACCAGGTTTGCCAGGAGCACCACCTCCTCCACCACCACCACCATCAGGTTTTCCAGGAGCGCCTGCACCTCCAATACTAGCACAATTTGGTAACAATACATCTACTACTGGTTTATCCGCTTTAGTCGATAGTATTCCTAAACCAAAAGGTCAAGTACGTCGATTACAGTGGAAAAAATTACCGCAAACTATTCTTGGTATGTTTGATTTCGTTGATACTTTTCCGTACACATATTTTCTTTCAGCTACTAGTCAATTTTGGATGGATGTTAATAAAAAAGTCGATGCTCAAATTAATTTTACGCAACTTGAAAATTGTTTTAAGGTCAATAAAGAGAATAATAATACAACTTTACCGACAAAAGCAAAAGCAACAACTGTAAGAATGAATTTTATTTACGTTCAACATATTTTTCAAATATATTCATAGATTTTACCATGTAATCGATCAATTGCTATAAATGTCTTCTTGAAAAAATTTCATTTTAATGATGCACATACATTTCTTCAATCCCTTCAAGATTCAGAATCAAATCTTAATGGTGAATGTCTTCGTATGTTACTCAAAGTTTTACCAACTAGTGATGAAGTAAACTTCTATAATAAAATAATAATAACTTTATGAAGCTTTTTTTTCTTTCTATTAAAATATAGATTATTCTTGTTCATGATTCTCCACGAGAACAATGGACATTACCAGAAGAATTTATTCACGAAGTTGGTTCTCTATCATCTTATGAATTTCGTACTCGAACACGTATTCTTATCATTGAATTTGATGAAACATTTGATGATTTAAAACGAAAATTTGAAACTGTTATTAAAATAATAACTTTCCTACAAGCTGATTCATCTCTCAAACAATTAGCTCGTTCTCTACTATCAGTTGGCGATTTTCTTAACTATGTAAATATTCATTAAACAATATTCGATAAAAATATATTTTATAAATTATTCAATTAGGGCTCCTATGCTGGTAATGCATTTGGTTTTCGATTAGATATTCTTGATCAACTTCATGATATTCGTTCAACTGAATACCGAAATTTACTTGGTGTTCTTCTTGAAAATGCACCACAAAATTTTAAATTTATCGATGGTTTAAAACCATTGCTTGCTGATGATATACAGTAAAAAAAACACATTTGAAAATTTCTTTCAAAATAAATATTGATTTGTTTTCTTCTCTAGATTTAAACTCGTCAAAGCAGAATATATTGATTGGAAAAAAAAGATTGATGATGGTCTTAAACAAATAAATTTCCTTCAAGATGAACAAATAATAAAACAATACAAATTATTTTACGAAGTAAGAAAAAGAAAAAGCAAGATTTTATATTGATTTTTGTCTTTATCTAAATAGCAATCAAGTTTAAAATTAAATAATACTCTTGATCCATTAGTCAATGAATGTGATAAACAAGAAAAAGAATTAATGAAACAATTTGGTGAAACAGATTTAAATGAATTTAATTATGATAGTTGTTGTACAATATTTCGACATTTAATCGAACATGTTGAAAAAGAAAATAAAGTAGAAATTTTAAATTCTCTAATTTAATTTTTCCCCGTTTTTTTTACTTAGGAACGAGAAAAATCTTTAATATCGACTAAAGTACTATTAAATTCAACCAAAACATTACCGGTGCAGCAAAAAACTAATTTAATTAATGGAAATCTAATGAACAAAACAACAGATAATAATTTTATGGATTCACTTATGACAGAACTTAAACAAAATAAATTTGCAACTACACCACGACGACGACGACCACGTCTAGGCCTTTTTGATGATGGTGATGAACGTGAAATAAAATAACTATTCAGATTCTTTTTTTTCTTCTTCTTCTTTTTGATAATAAATCACACGCCGTTTTTTTTTATGTTTTATATTCTTATCAATAGAATGAATTTCGTTTCATTTATAAATGGATATTTGATACAAGAGTGTTCAATGTGTACTTTTCTATTGAACAGCATCAATTTTCGGGAAAACAATAGTTTTTCTTTACTTTGTTCTGTCCCGTTCGTTTACCCTTTGGGTATATATACATATATCCACTTGAATGATGTTTGCATTTCTGTTCTTCTTCATCTCGTTCTCTTTCTCTTAATGTATACGAACGATATTATTATTGTTTTTACAATATTCGTTAAGCAGAAAGCGAAAAAAATGCACCTATTATTTCAACATATAGACATACGTAATCACGTAATATATATTAGTTAAAAATTGATTATCACACGAATATGTCAATCATTTCGTCCTTCCTCCTTTTATGTTTTCCGGAGGGCTAATTTGATCATCATTATTATCATCATCATCATCATCATCATCATCATCATCGTCGTTGACTGAGGACAAGACATATATGTATGTATATATATATATATATATAACGAAATTGCTAACATTTACTCAAATAAAATCATGAAGACGAAAGAGAGAGAACGACAGTGCATACAACACGAACGAACGTCTCGCATTCGTAATGATGATGAATCGATATCGTCTATAAGCGAAAAAGTGAGAGAGAGATGAAGAGGAAAAGGCGAAAGAGAGCACGAACGAAATATAAAGCAAATAGTCTTTCTACTTAGCTTTTGTGTATGTGTATGTGGAAGGAGGAGCAAGGAAAAAGAAAACACCTTGATAGTATTCGCTCTGGGTAAATAGGCACGTCCGTCAGCAACTATTTCGTCGTCAATTTCACGTTCTCCCTTATTTCGGTTTTTTTTCTCGCCAACGCACAGCCATTTGTTGGTAGAGTGATGATGGCTAAAAGTGTTTCACCGTAACATTTCTCTTTACTCTTCGTATTTATGTGTGTGTTCTTACTCTTCTTTTTCGCTCGGCAAGCAAGTAAAGTAAAAGAACGAGAAAACGACTGTGTAGTGTAGTGTTCCGTCTTTGAGATTCCTTTTCTTCTCTTCGCTTCTCAGCACACATACATGCACAAGCATTTTTCACTCACACAATACAGAGAGATGAAGTGTATATATATATATATACGTATATATATATACATACATATATGTAGAATAGAGGACATCAACGAATGGTAGATTGGCTTAGACTTCGGACATAAACATTTCTTTTCATTCACCTGTGTTTTTTTCGTAAGTAAAAGCTAAGACAGTTACACTTTTCATGAATGAAACATTTTTTGCTTATCAGACTATAATCGTTATCTTATCAATATCAATCATTATTTTTTTTTTATAAAAAGAGATTATCATATTTAATTGGTTTAAAAATTCAAGAAATAAAACTTTTCCATAAATTTTATTTTGATAAAAATTTCCATAAATGAAAATCATCTTGTCAATTTTTGATTTTTATTGGAAATATATAAGTGTTTCTAAGACTTCATAATTGAGAATTTAATCGAAATTTCTAATGAGAAATAAAACGTTTACTTATATGCATATGCACATTTCTTTTCAACCGTTAACTCTCAACTTCTTAGTTTTGTCCTGTCACATCAACGTCCGTTAAAGTTTCATTTTCGGATTCTTTCTTTTTTTCTTCTCCTCTTATTTTACCCTAACAAACCAAACAATATTCGTTGTCGTTCTTTTTCTTTTACTGTATTTTCTTTGAGCAAGCAAAAGTATTATATTCGCATGTATTCAAATGCGAAGAGCACGTCTAGAGAGAAAGAAAGAATGATGAATCTAGATATAGTAAAAGCATATTGAAGCCTATCGTCCATTCGACCACCACCATCATCATCATCAACATATATAAAATTCGTCTTGTGTTCTTTCGCTCATTTTAATGTTCGCTCTGTGTTGAATGAAATAGAGACGAGAGAAAGGTGTACATATATATATTTAAAAGAGAGAAAGGCAAAGGAGGAGAAAAAGAGGTAAGAACACACATATATACATCAGGGAACAAACGGGTATGAAGCGGGAAAAACGAACCTTACTACTACAACGAATGTCTCTTGTCCGTTCAATGAAGGTATACAAAGTAAATAGAAGAGAAAAAAGAAAAGAACGCGATGCAATGAAAATTTCAATAGAAGTACGTTCGCCTTTATGTAGACACATACATTTATATATATATATATATATATAGACGAGAAAAAGGGAACAGAACGAATGCTCGAGAGTTAAAGTCACCCTCAACTACGCTATCTCTCTTTTCTTTTTTTTGGCCTACACATACATCGAAATGTGAAAGAGCATTTCGACGATAGCAAGTTGATGAAAAAAGGGTAACCTTTTTCTTTATTTTTTAATATGAGATTTACTTATTGGAAAATCTTTTCGACATTAAACTATGTGCGTCAGATTTTTTTTTAAAGTGGAAAACAGCTGTTTCACATTTTAGACAAAGACAAACTAATTATGAATTCATTGGATATTCAACAACAATTAGCCGATCAACGTCGTGGTCGATATGTACGTGTTAGTGATGTTGACCGACGATTACTAATTGATACTTATAAGAAAGGAGAAGATTTTATAGCACTTGCAAAAAAACTGAATATCAAACGATCAACAGGTAAGGAAGAACGAAAAAAAAGGGTTCTCAGTACATATACTCTGTCATTCATTTATCTCATGTTTTTCCAATGACACATGACTCATATTTTATGTCAAAATAACATATGATTCTATTATTGTATTTATTATTTTTTTTCTAGCTCGAAGTATACTTCGAACATATATTGATGAGGGTCGTGTATCAGCAAAACAACGTGCTGGTACACGTCTTCGTTTTATAACTGAAGAAGAAGCTGAAATGATACGAGAAATGAAACGTCGTCATCCATTAATAACAATCGGTCAAATACAAATGCGTTTACAACGTACGTCAAATCGTGTACTAAGTAAAGCATCAATATCACGTATATTAACAAATAGTATTCGTTTGGGTAAACGTGCTAAACGTTCAGTTGATGGTGAAGATGATCAAGATGGAATGAATGAAACAATGGGTAATGGTAATGATGAACTTATGCAATTATCATCCGATGAAAATACAGGTGGAGCAATATTTATCGATGATACAAATGATGATGAAGATGATGATGATGGAATGATAGAAAATAATACATCATTAAATAATCTTGATGATTTTCAACGTTTTATGCTACGTAAAACAAGTGTAAATGGTGATGAATCAATAGTGAATGACAATTTAGAACAATATGATGATAATGGTTACCCTACAACATATCCACAATATGGTAGTGAAGAAGATGAAGATGAAGTAAGAAAAAGAAAATTTATTTTTTTTCGAAATTTATTTATTTTATTTTTTAGTTATCTGATGAAAATGAAACAACAACACCAGTTGATCTACGATCTGAAATAACATCGACACCATCTGTAGTTAATGGTATTACACCTATATTAAATGAAAATGGTTGTTGGAATTTAAGTACAAACTCAATTAAATCTGAACCTGTCTGTGTATTTGTTAATCGAAATTATGATGAAAATTCTTCGGATAGTGAACATCTTCAAGAACAACCATTGACTATTGATGAAGAAACCAATAAAAATTCTAATAACACTTTATCAACGTAAGTTTATTTATAAAAAGAAAACGAAATTCATAATTTGAATAATAAAAAATTCTTTAGAATTTCAACTCCACAATCATCAGGTTATCGACGTGGAAAAATTTGTCCAATTTGTAATGAAAGAAATTTTTCTCGTCTTTCTCATCATCTTGCTGTTACACATAATCTTGCTCGACAAGAAATTTTAACATTACTTGCATATACAGATCAAAATAATAATAATAATTCATTAATAGCAACTGTTAGTGGAAGTTCACCAACAAATACACCATCAATTGCACTTGATAAAAGTCCACAACAAACACCCATTAGTATTAATACAAATAATCAACAAATTACATGTCCATCATCACCTATCAATGAATTAGATAATAATCATCAAACATCATTAACAACAACAACAACAAGTTCATCAACTATTGATCAACAAACATCAAATTATTTACCTATTGATGGTAAAAAACGTTTATTATGTCCACGTTGTGATACATGGGTATTAAATTTAACTGATCATTTAATAAAAAAACATCATTTAATATCTAAACAAGAACGTTTACCATTTTTACGATTAGCACGTAATCGTTATGCAACACCATCTTCCACACCAAATACGATTACAAATGGTAATGAAGAAAAAACGACAACTAATTCATTTCTTATTAGTCCAGATCATTCATCACCAAGCACAAATCAATCAAATGAACAACAACAACAACAAACGACTCTTCTTCAACAAGCAGCAAATCGAAAATATCAAAATATTGTAAAAAAATATCGTAAAAAACTCTTAGGTACAATACAACAACCATCAAATCTTTCAGCAACATCATCACTTTCAAATTCTCATACACCAAATAATTCAATAGACAAATCTTCTCCACTTTCATCATACGATCATTCAAATCTTCCATTACCAGCACATGAATTAACATCAACAACAGCAGCTGCAAATCATAATCTATTGACAATGAACAGTATTCAATCATTACTAAATAATGGTACAAATAATCAATGTAAACAAGAAAAATTTAAATTTCCAACACTTAATGAAAATTTTTCAACACGTACTTTTTCGGCTATTAAAACATCTGGAAATAATAACAACAATATAAAAGATCAACAACAGGTAAATTAAAAAAATATTTCCTTTTTTTTGACTAATAAACGATCAACATGGAATTTGATGAAGATTATAGAATAGTAGATAAAAAAATTGAATGCCAAATCTAATCTCGATTATAGGTCGGATGTAGCTTTAATTTGAAATCATACCTACAAACGAGAATGAATAGCCTTGTCTTTGTTTTTCACTAAATATATTATCGATAGGAGGAAGTAAAAACGCCGTAGGGGGGTAGGGCGATTTTTCGCCAAAAAAAAGTGCGATGTGCAAGAGTCCGGGATATTTTATTATGAGGGGCGGGGGAGGGGTTACTGAGTCGAAAAAAGTAAGTCATATAAGTATTTCGGAAATAGATCATTTATATAATGCATGAAGTAAAGTTTTATAGACGTGCATTGATTTTTGTTTCTCATGCGTGAATATGTCGTAATTTTGAAGTAATATGAATATTTTTCTTCATCTTCATTAAATAGTCGAAATATTTTGACATTACTAAAGAACCTTGTTCATTGTCATACTTTGAATCTGAACGTATAAATTAGTTCTACTTAACACCATAAAATAAACATTTTCTGTTCAATGGCGTGTAATGTTATATATATATATATATTTCTATTTTAGTTATCAACTCATCAAAAATTTGAACAACGTTTAACTGTATTTCGTCAACAATTTGCCGTTACATTAGCAATGCAAAATTCTTTAATGCAACAAATGGAATTATTACAACGAAGTTTTGTTTGTATTGAGGATGAATGGAATGATATGAAAAAACAAATTGTTTCATAAAATGTATTGATACATGTTTTTTTCTTCTCACAGATCAGATATTAACTTTTTTTTTTTCTTCTTTTGTTGATACGAAAAAAAAGAGATTAGCGCATATGTTTTTTTTGTTTTTCTTCCAAGAAGCTGATGAAAATGATGGCGTGCTACAAAATAATTCGTTTTTTTTTGTATATAGATTTTTCTGTTTGAGCAGTAGTTTGTTTTTCTTTCTTTTGGTGCTTGAACATTCCTTATTTACTGTTATTTGTTACTTCATCTTCTGATATATTCCAGAACGCATATCTGTAATGAATGACAGTCTGTCTGTTTGCATCAATGTTTTTTTTTGTTCGTTTTTTTTAAAACTTCTATCAGTACATCACATTCTTTGTGTTTTGTTCCGCTCATTTTCTCGTATGTTTTTAGTCTGTGTTTTTTTTATGATTTTGATTGAAAAATGATGTGTGAACTATAGATCTATCGATTTTCTCTCAACAAAAATATAGCAACAATCGATGATTATAATTATTCAATTTGTAGCTATTGTGTGTATGAAATTCTTTTTTAAATATTTATCTGTCATTTTTATAAGCATCACGGATGCTTTGTTTGTTTGTTTGTTCGCGTTTTACAATCTTTCTTTTTTCTTTTAAAATATTGAATAATAATAGAAACAAAGAATCAATAGATTTCTACTATTTCCAAATTCTGATTGATCGAATGTTTACAACAAAAAAAAACTTATTAAAAATAGCCAGACTAATAACTGAACGATAGAAAGAAGTATAGTAGTTTGTAGGCTTCGATTTATCATAATGACTAGTATTTGAAAGAAGCTCTTGAAAAGTTTGAATCAACGAAGTAGATACGATGTTTTTTTTATTAAAATAATTAGTAAGTTTTATTTGGTTCAGTTTCTGTAACGATCATCTTAATTTTTAATGATAAATAAAGAGTTGAAAATAACATTTGTGATTTATACAAACATTGAAAAATATAATTGAAGTTTTCATTCAAATAGAAACCTTTTGTATTCTCATTGTTTATCTATGCATTAACTGAATTTGAAATTAGTATAGAAAAGAAAGAAAATATTTTCTCTGGTCTTTTTATATTTAAATTACCGATCTGATTGTACGTATCGAAAAAATGGTTTATACGAATCGAAACTGATAAAATCATTTGCATATTTATGGTTGTTTAGAAGAATAAAAACCTTGATGTATATTACTATTTCCTTGTAAATAAATAAATTTTTATTACTGTAAGCGTAATATTAAATAATTAATTTTTGCAAAAACAAAATCACATAGATAAAAATTAAACAGTTTGAAGAATTTTATATTCAAAATAATTTTGTCATTATCACAGTTAGAATTAGAATCAAAGATAAATTCATTGTTAATCTAAAGTATTAATATTGTATTTGGAAGGTATATTTTATATATGCTATACTTACTTAGATTTTAATGAACTTCCTGTAAATATATAAAAAAGGCGATTAAATAGATGAAAGAAAAATGTTTTTAAAGAAATTACCTGTTGATACTGGTGTTGTTGATGGTCCAACACAGGGTTCATTATCAATCAAAAGAAACAATTGAACTCTGTGATTCCAGGCATCACTTACATAAAGATTACCTTCATTGTCGAAATCTAAATCGGTTGGATGATGAAATTGATTACTCTTGCTGCCTTCACCTATTGTTAAATATCGATTATTTGAATTTTTGTTTTGTTTTTTATGAAAAAGAGTGATTAAATTAAACTACATACCATTATCACCCGCAATAGTCTCGCCTTCGGTTGCTCTATGTTTCCAACGTTGAATTCGATTGTTTAATAAATCAACTATATAAAGAGATTTTGTTTCTTCATCAACACGTAAACCATATGGTCTATCTAAAGATTTAGCATCTGATCCTGGATCACCATCACTTGATCCAGCTACTGTAACACCTTCTTTAGCATCTTTTGGCCATTTCTGAATGCGATGATTTACTAAATCTGCTATATATAAATCATTTGTAATTTTATCTACAAAAATTCCTTCGGGATCTTTAAGATGATCAGGCCTCGGTCCACTTTGATCTGTTTCACCAGCTGCTATGGTAGTTAGATTAGTTACAGGTGACCATTTAAGAATACGATTTCGTTTACGTTCTGTCATATAAACATTCTTTTCTTTATCTAACCATACGCCTGTACAATCAAGACATGTATCACCAATTATTATACCATGAGTAGCACCCTTGATCCATTTTTCTACACGACTTGCACCATTTATAGCAATATAGATAGTTGGAAAATCATCATCATCATCATCAAGATAGATTTTAAAACCTTGTAATATACGAGGTATTACAGTAGTACCAGTTGTTGTCGATCGATCAAGTGGAAATGTTTGTATGCGATTATTGAAAGAATCTGATACAAATAAACGTTTTGTTTTATCATGAATAAAAATTCCTTGTGGATAAGAAAGTTGCGTTGGGGTATTTCCTTGAATACCATTGCCGGCTATAGTAATAGCAGTTGTATTCCATTTTGCACAAGGGCTAATACGAATTGATATCACAGATGATATACAATACAAAACTAGGACTAGACTATAAACAGATTATTTAACAGATATTCGTTTTAAATTTACTTACGAAAATAAATAACAGTAATTTGCATCATTAAAATGATGACAAATAAAAATAAAAATACAAAAAAAAATGAATGAGTTAGAAAAGATAAGATGTAGAATAATATGTAGTTTCAAGTATTACAAGCAAAAATTGTTATCATTTATTCTATTTTAAATATTTAAGTTTATCTTTCTTTTACATGCAAAAAATTAGGTCATAAATACAATCGAGAAATTTTCACCGTAACAAATATCTAATATAGAAGACATTAATCTGACTTTAATTTAATTAACATATTTTATAAAATTTATTCTTTGTTGATTAAAAACGAATTTATAAGAATTACATCATCGTCATTCACAATCTCCAGCAAGATATCGTATTAATAACTGATTCAGATTATTTTTTTTCTCTAAGACTTATTATAAAAAGACGCGTCATACTGAGATTATATGAAAGAATAATAATCAAATATAAAGTCCATTCGACTGACTATATTATGAATGAAATTCAATTATAAACTATAGTCGATTGTATAATAGGTAAAGATGCCCATTGTAATAACCATTGAACATTATGCAATTGATTATCGAAAGAAAATAGATTGAATTTTGATTTTTATAAAACATTCTGTTTTTGATTACTTAACGAAATAAATACATCAAGGTCAAAACTGCTTCATGGCGCACTCTGTATGGAGAGAATAATTTATTTTTTGTTGTCGTCCTGACAGCATAATAATAATGGCAGCATCACTTGTCGAGGAGTGAGATCAAAAAGCGTTTGTCATTTTTTTACATTAAGATCTCAACATGGCGGCGACAGGAAAAGAAGATATGGATCGAGTGGGTCTATTTAAAGAGATGGAATATGTTACCATCAAAGATCCATATACAACACCTTCGAAAGGTATAGTTTACTGCCAATCTAATAAAATCTTTATGAGTATATTTTCTTTGTTTTTTCAAGGTAATTTTAATGAAGCAGCTTACAAAAATAAACAAATGATGAGTAAAAGCTCAAAAGAGCGATCAACAGGATCAATGGCTGGATATTTTGATACAGAATTTAAACCTTTGAAAGCTTCATATGTTGATCCTGTATCAATGCGTCGTCAAGCTCGTATTGAGGAAAAGAAAAAGAATGTTGTTACAAGACCGTTTGTTACCATGTATCGAGCAAAGGAACCGTACGTTGAATTCTTAAGATTTTTAATTTGAGATTAAAAGTTTCGGATTATAAAATATTTTCTTTTCTATAGTGAAGGTTTGGGTTCATTTTATGGAACGCTAGGTGGTCCCATTATGGATCTTGATCCAACAAAATCTAAATATCGTGAACAAACAAAGCCACCTGCTGAAAAATCAAATTTCAAAACTAATCCAGCAAAGAAAGGAACAGGTTATGGGTATGAACTAACCGAAAATTTCATATAAAACATCATGTTAAATTATTCGTTTTCTTTTAGTTATCCAAATTTAGGTCTAGAAAAAGATCCTCCATATACATATAGAGATCGAACAGACAATTATGATCAACCAATAGAATCTCAAAAGGTAATATTGTAAAATTTAAAACAAAAGAAAATAATTTTAAATATTAGAAAGACAATGCTCATCATAAAGCATCAATGAAAGCCGGTGTATTTAAATTGAATATGCATCCAAAAGAATTTTTTGATAAAAATCCATTTCATGAAGAAGGTAAAGGTGGTAAACGACAATCAGAAGAAAAAGATCGTTCAAAATCTGCCCCTGAAAAACCATTTAAATTTAGCTCTCCAGGCAAATCGGTATTTATCAATAATTCAAACGAAAAAAATAAATAAATATTTATTTTGTTCTAGCTCGGTGGAAATAAAGATGGTTGTTTTGATAAATTTCCCAAACGTAGTGACAAAGATGAATATTTCGTCACACCAAAATACAGTCGACTTAAAAATGAAGTTAATAATAAAGGAAAAACATATTATCCAAATAAATTTCCTAAAACACGTCCGAGTGATTCAGTTATTGACAACTATGTTAAATTACATGTAACACAAAATAACTATCAACAAGTATCAACAAGTTTTTCTGGATTTATAGCACCACCGATACGTCAACATGTATCTGCTCGCTAAATATGAAAGTGAATATTTTTTTTGGAATTTTTTTATCAGTACATTATTTTTTCTAATATATATTTTTATATACATACTTTAAATGTATAAGAAATTATTTAAATAAAACTTTCTTTGAATTTGTGTCGAAATGTTAAAATTTGTATATAAGTATGACAAATCAAAGGATAATATATAAAGCATAATCGAGACTAGACAAGAGCATGATCAATCCTAGTCACGGTAATAGAATTGAACATATCACTGTTCTCTCTCTCTCGGAGAGA